GTTGAGGGCCCTCCTCAGACCCCAGCTTTGCTGACATCCTGCTAACTGGCTGCCCTAGCGGCTAGTTCAGGGTGGAAGCTATCAATTGGGACCCCAAGTAATGTATCTGGGGTGGCCCTGGCCCCTGTCGTACCCATGTCCAAGAGCCCCAGGGCAGAAGAGGACTAACATTCAAGTTTCTTAGCTCAAGGGGGTGCTAGCTTGGACATCAGAACCCACTGGGTCTCCCCTACGTGGTCAGTTCCAGTTGTTTTTTTCCCCCCCCAACATTTTATTAGGAGCTCTTACAGATATTATTATAATCCATAGTTCCATTCAATCAAGCATAAGTGGCTATCATCATCATTTTCAATACATCTCTCTCTTCTTGAACTCTTTGATATCGACTCCCCTTTATCCCCTCCATCCCCCGCCCTACCACCCCTATGTATCCTTAGTATAGTATGTATATATTAGTCTGACCCTCCCTCCCACCTGGATTCCAAGTCATCTTCCCAACACGGCTCAAGAATTAAGGCAGGGGTGGGAAATGGAGTGTGCCCACAATCATTCCCGAATGAAATGTTTACAAAATAATAATAAAGCCTGGGCTTTGGAATTGGAGACCCCGGTGTCAGACCCCAGCTGACAGCTGGTGGGGCGGATCATGCAGCTGAACAGGTGAGGAGGGGGTCCCTGTGAGCCAGGAAGCGAGAAGGTCTTCCTGATTCAAGCCAGGGCTGTTTCATTCTGCACCCACCCACTCCCCACCCAAGTCATAGCCTAAGAGCACCCTGGTACTTGCACTGAGATTTCACTGTGGCTTTGGAGGGGGGGGGGAATCCCTCGTCTCCACCCTCCAGCATCAGGTGTGTCCATCTGCCATCGTGGCTCCAATTGCTATCAGATGGGTGACCCTTCTGTGGTTGCAGCAAGACACCCCCTTGGTTGCAGCAAGTGTCCCCTTGGGATACTTCTTAAGAGGCTCCCCCTGTGCTTTTAGCTAAACGCTAGCTCATGGACTCCACTGCACGAGTGAGAACTTGGTGGGGCTCACGTGGCCTGGAGAATAGAGCGTGCCACTCCCATCCCTCTTCACAGAGGCACACTCTTGCTCCACAACCCACTGTGGCTCCCGGGTGCCTCCTGCACACAATCCAGACTCAGCCTCCCCTCTCGGCAGCCCAGCGCTCCCCTCACGCCTCCCTCTCTCTCCTGAAGACAATGCAGTGTGTTCTGCACATGTCACCTGGGTAACGCACAGGCAGCCTTTTCCATCTGGCTCTAGGCCCACCTTCTCCAGGTAGGCTTCCTGGCTCACCAGATCTCTCCCCTCGGCCTGCTCTTTTTCCTTGTCAATCTCCTGATCATCCTGTGATCAGATCACCCCATGTGTGTTCCACACACGCCCTTTAGTGAGTCAGCCCTGGGCAGGGGAGGAAGGAGGCCCATGCCTTCCATCTTTGTGAGTCGTTGTGAGCTAGCCGCTAGGCTAAGAACATTTTTATTCCACTTGCTCCACCTGTACAACCCGGTGGGGTGGGCACTGTTGTGATCCACGTGACCCCCAAGGAGAGGGCAGGTTCTGCTTCCTGGTCACACGCTCTACTGTGCCATTCAAGATGATTTGAGACGATGTAAAGTGATGAGCAATCAGTTTGTGTGTGACACGCCATTGCACCGGAAACTGCCAGAAAACCAGTGATCGCACTCAAGGCTAGGAGCAGAGAGAGCTGCGAGCAACGTTCTGCAGAACCCTCAACCAGACGAGGCCAAAGGGCGGAGTTGGCCCCCAAACAAATCTGTAAAACCTAGACCTGTAATTACAAGACCATCAATGAGAGATAGGGACATACTTAGGGGTCCTAAGACAAGGCATAAGTAGGCGATCAGATGACTGGAAATGCCACACACTAGAAGACTCACTAGATGACCGGGACCTTCCAAGAGTAGATGCTTCAGTGCATCACGAATAAAAAGCATACACACACACTTGGGAAGGTGGGGCAGCTTTTGCAATGGCTTGTGGGACACGAAGCCAATTTGTGACCTTGAAAGCAAACTTTCAACACCTCAACCAAGAAAAAAGACCCTCCGGTATTTATTTATTTTTTGGTATGTATATAGAAAGCTGTTTATATAAGCAAAGGACTTACACGATTGTAAAAGTAGCTTATTCCAATCCAGTTCAATTCTTTTTTTTTATCATTTTATTGGGGGCTCACACAACTCGATCACGATCCATCCATCCATTATGTCAAGCACATTTGTACATTGGTTGCCATCATCGTTCTCAAAACATTTGCTTTCTACTTGAGTCCTTGATATTAGCTCCTCATTTCCCCCCTCCCTCCCTCATTAATCCTTGATAATTTGTAAATTATTATTTTTCATG